TGGCCCACTCAACTTTAATTATCACGGATAACAATGCTCCGACATCTGATGCAATCAGAAAACTACTATCAAGGAAGTATTGAAAACAAAGTTTGTGCAGTATCAGTTATAGGGTGGAAGCTGTAAGAACATATTCTCTAACCATGTGGAAACTATGGAGTCCTCACAGCCTCCACAGCCCTCACAGGGCCTCTCAGACCCCAAAGCCCTTTCAGACCCCATTGTTCTCACTGTTCTCATAGACCCCTCAACCCTCACTGACCTCACTCACCCCATACCCCTCACACACACCATGCCCCTCATAACCCCCATAGCTCTCATAGACCTCAGGTCCTATAGCCCTCACTGCCCTCATAGCACCAATAGACCCCACAGACCTCACAGCCACCAGGGCCATCACAGCCCCATAGACCTCTCAGCCCCTCACAGCCCCCATAACCAGGGGGTGTCTGGGCACAGCCAGAGCAGCCACCTTGCTCATCCCCATTGACAGCACCGCAGTGTGGCCATGCCAGATGTGCCCTTCCTGTCCTTCTGCACCCTCCTGGGAACCCTGGGCTTGCTCCACGTGGCCCTGGTGGGCATCTGGTGCCAGCTGGTGGGGGATTCTCCCTGGATGGTGGTACCCAGACATTCAGCTGGCACTCGATGCTGATGTTTTCTGTTTTGGAGGTGGGGATCACATTTCTTTTAAGGTGTGGGGTCATAATTTCTCTCTCGGGCAGGGAAACCAATTTTGGATCCGCACTTTTGTTGGTCTTGGTGAATTTATTTGTTTTTCCTAGCATACAATGCTGCCGTTTGAACTGCTGTTGCTCCGGTGGGAATGGAAAAGCCAGGCTCCAGAGCTTTTTGTCCTGGTACCTTTCTGTCCTGACGCGTTTCGTTTGAGAATCGTGACAGGACGTTTTCACCCTGGGAGCTGCATTTTGGGTTGTTTGTTATGTACAGACCGCCACCTCGTGGAGCTGCTGAACAGCGACAGTGGGAACGTCGCCGGCGTGTCCTTGAAAAAGACGTGAACGTACCGGGGTTATCCAAATGGGAAGATCCGGAGCTGAAAACGTCCTCCCCTGCTGTCAAAGAATATGTTCCATGACAGAATAATTCCACTGACCTTCCGTTCCATTTGTAAACTTGTATTTGCACCGCAATCAAGTGCTAGTTACTTCTCCTTGCTGCCTGAAAACTGCACGCACCGCCATGGTACACAGCACTTTCAATCTCTGCTGTATGTATTGTGATACACTTCCACTCTAGCAGGGTCCAAAAGGTCCATCTACTTCTCACACAGGAAAATGTCTCCAGCAAACTGCTCCATGGAAACACTTGGGTGTTACAGAATTCCCTTTTCAGCGATTTGCACCATCACATTCTGTCCTTCTTGCAGTCTGAATCTAAACTGAAAAGTTTCCAGCCACAACTCACGCAGATAAATGTGTGCTCAGACCTCAGCCCTTACACTTGGAAACTTCTATTCTCATCCCAATCAAGTGACAGTCACTTTCCCCTTGCAGCCAGTGAACTGCCGCCCCACTGTGGTGCTCTGCACTTTCCTACTCAGCTCTACATATCATCACACACGTTTAGTTATGCAGAGACCAACATGTCAATGTAACTCCAAACATATAGAAATTTGCCAGGACAAAAGAAGTTGCTGGATAATTCCTTCTCATGGCAGCCTTTCAACAACGCACCACACGTGCGCTTTGCACCTTCCTTCTCAGCTGTATAATGCCACATTTTTTCACTCTCACAGAGCCTAGCTTCAAACCTCAAAACATCCAGCAGTTGCTCCCATATGAACGGTCTAAGAACAAAATCGCCGCACTGGCCTGCAGCCCGTAAACCACACCAAACACTGCTGTTGTGCACTTTCCTTCTCAGCAGTCACATCACACTCAATCTCGCAGAGTCTAAGGCTAAACCAAATTGTTTCCAGCTGGAGCTCAAACAGGAAAATGTGCCAGCACTGAAAGCTTTTGCTGACCTTCCCCCCTTACAGTTGGCAACCTGCACTCAGACCACTTTCGAGTGGCAGTCACGACCTCCTTGCAGCCTGTAAACTGCACCCCCTCCCTGGTGTTCTGCACGTTCCACTCAGCTTTATGTACTGTCCTGCACTGTCAGGCTTGCAGAGTTTAAAGTGTCCATCTCTTGCACAGAAAAATGTGTCAGGAGAGAAGCAGTTACTCACTTAGAAGGATATCAACACCATGTGCACTGGGGCTATGAGCTTTCCTCTCAAACTGTGTGCACTATTACATTCTTTCAATCTTGCAGAGATCCTCCACCTAAACTAACTCTATCAAGACTTAATACTGGTCAAGAAAGGTGCCCACTGGGCAAGCTGTTTCTGTCCCCACACTTAACTCACATCCTTTGAAAAGCAACATACCCTCTGGAGTCAGACACTTTCCTGCGCATACCATCATATCCTTTCATCCTTGTAGAGGGCAGACTCAAGACTAAAAACATCCAGCAATTGCTCCTCTACCAAAGATTCTAGAACAAAAACTCAGCACTGGCCTTCACTTTGCCCTTAAAGCTTATAAAGTGTACCACACACTGAGATCTGTGTGCTCAGCTCTATGTACTCTCATACACTTTCAGTCTCAGAGTTGCAAAACTAAAAACATTCAACAGCTGGTCCCACAGAAAAGGTTCTAGAAGAAAGAGCTGGTGCTGGACTTGACTTTTCTTTTGCAGCCTATAAACTGCACAGCCAACAATGAGACAATTTGCCTTCCTTCCCAGCTACATGCAGGATCACATCCTTCCAGTCTCAAACAGACAGGATCCAAACCCAAACCCCTACAGTAACTGCTCCCAACTTTCCTCGTGGGAAACTATCCAGTGACTTCTGAGAGGACAAGGATCCGGATCACCTCAAGTCCAGCACAACCTCTAGAGAACACATCTGGCCAAATGGGAAGAGAACTGTGATAAGGAATTTTGCAGGCTCAGTTAGGGGGCCACTAAGAACAAGTCTGCCTGAAGCACAGGAAACAGCAGAGAGGGGGAAAGAAAAAATAAACAGATGGCACTACATGGACATGATTAACCTTAGGTTCAAATTTCTTTCTCTATTTTTCAGTACCTTTTATATGAGCAAGAAGGCAGTGCTGCCCCTCTACCTCTACATTTCATGCTGTCTCTAGGCACCTAGCAGAGAACTTAGATTCTACTAAATGAGTAAATTTACCTCTTACAGGCACCAAAATTATTCATTATTAATAATTTCTGACCTCCAGAAATACAAGCCTGTCTAGACTGCCCCAAATTTAACAGCACAGCACAGGACCACTTCCTTCTTCTTGTATTGTATTCTATGCACTGGCAAATGATGCTTTTCCAAGTAAGAGCCTTCTTGAGCAGCAGTCACGTAGTGGGAGGGCTGACTTAAAACCCACAGCTTTGGACTCAGAACGAGGTCTTCCTACTCCAAGTCACTGGAAAACTCTCCTTGTTTATCACAGATGCAGCTAGAAAACCCTAAATACCCGGTAGCTTCTTGCCCCAGTGGTATTTGTAATAGACTTTGACTTCCTTCAACCTTCACACTTGAAACCTTTTGGTTTTTTCACTGCCTGTACTCTGTGTTTGCTGGTGGAACTGACACCAGCCCTTGCCACTGCAGTGTGTGTGGTGGAGTGGTCGGCTCTCTAGCAGCAAATTTGGTCAGACAGCCCTGACATACTTGGTCACCCAGCAGCCACTGACACCCCTCACCCGTGTTTTCACCCGGAGAATGACTTGTGGAGCTGAAGGGACAAACCTGAGGCACAGTTGAGCCAGCGGGGAGGGCACCACCAAAATCAGCAGCTCTGGCAAGTCCTTGCCAAGGGAGACCTGCTATTACATCGAATCGCGGCAGGCCTGGTGCCCGTCTCCTGCCCCAAAGAGCTGTGCCCCTGGGGTGCTTCTCCCTGAGGTGGCCCAGGCGTTGTGGCTGCTGCTGCTCCCCTTTCCCTCTGTGTCCAGGCCAGGCCAGCCTGGCTCCCTTCAAAGTGTCCCCACCCTCTTGAGGAAACCTCCACGGCTTCTGCCCCAGCCACGGCAGATCCCCCGGGCAAGCGCCAGAGCAGCTGGGCAACACATGGGCAGAGCACAGATGGCACTTCCTGGCTGGGACGGGGCTTGTGGCCATCTCCAAGGACCTTCTTCCCAGGGATCCCCACAGCTCCAGGCTTTGCCCATCTGTTTTGCTGGAAGCTTTAAGGCTTCACCACAACCACCAAAAGCCAAGGGCACTTAGGGCACTTTCCCTCCCCCACTGCACACCTGGGCAAGTGTTGCTGAGAACGACGACCCTTTCTCCCATCTTCCCCGATACCCTGTGGAAACTGGGCACCAAAAATCCCTCCTGAGCCTCTGTGTATTGCAATAGGAAATTTCTATTCCCCTGCTGGCTTCAAGGAAAGTTCTGACAGAGCAGGGTCCTTCCTCGCAGGCTCCTGCAGCCTCAGCAGACCCAACAGCTTCCCAAGTCAACTCTCCACAGAGCTCTGCCAGCACAGACAGAGACTGCCCTGCAGAGCAGGCTGGGTCTTGTAGGCCCTGCAGAGCCAGTGTCGGAGCTGCGGGAATCTGGAGGACGGAGCTCTGTGGGCAGCTAGGATGATATAGCAGGTCTGAAGCGCCAGGTTTGAGATGACGAGGCTGTCGTCGTTCATAGCTTGAAGGGCTGGAGAGGGAGGAACAGAGCCAAGGTCAGAGCCTGCATCTGTGTGGCGACCTGAGTGAGAAACCTCTGCAGCCAGGGCCATCCCACCCAGCTCTTCCCATGGCCAGGAGGGAGCAGGGCCCAACAGCATCAGGCAGGAGGTGCCACCCACCAACAGCCCTGATGGCCCTGAAACCTGTCTCTGCTCTGCCCAAGCCATTCCTCATCCATGCAGGGAGCAGAGCCCCTCCGTTGGGCAGCTGGGGCAGGCTTGCAGATCCCTGCCCAGGGTGTGGGCTCCTCCCACCAGCCCCTATTGCCTTCCCTCACTCACCCTTTTGGATGACCTGCAGCTCTTCAGGTGCCCTCAGGAACCTCCCGGCCATCCCTGGGAACACAGATGCTGTCACGGCCCCAGCGGCACAGCTCCCCCCCAGTGGTGCTGCCAGCCCGGCCACACGCCCTCCTGCCCTGGCAGGGCTTAGCCCGGGCCCTTCCCACCTGGGGACACGCCAGGGCTGGGCGGGCACAGGGCGGCAGCACCGCCAGGTCACTCGGGGCTCCCCAGCACAGCCCTGGCCGCATCTGCTGCCGCTGCAGCCCACGGGGCTGGGGCCGAGCTGCAGCGGGGCGGGCAGGGACCTCGTGGCTCACCAATGAACCTGACGGCTGCCTCTCGCAGGGGTTCCTGTGGGCTCTCCAGGTACGGCAGGGCCTGCCGCAGGTACTCGGCCACTCGGCTCTTGTCCTTTCTCAGCTGCAAAGAGCAGCGAGGCGATGCGAGAATGCTTGGCTCGAGCTCTGCCCCTTGGCCGGGCACAGCCCGCGCCCAGCACTGGCCTCCCCTGCGCGCACAGCCCTGAGGCCCGGGCAGCAGCCGCTGGGGCCGGGCTTTGGAGGGAGCAGAGGGCTGGGTGCTCCCCGGCAGCCGCGGGGCCGCCTCGCCCTACAGCCCAGCTGGGCCGGGGCTGCAGCAGCACCCTGGCTCGGGGCCACAGGAGCCCGCGGAGCAGCCCGCATGCCCCAGGGAAGGCAGCAGCGGCCGGGGCGCAGGCTGCCGTCCCACAGGCGGCTGCAGCAGTGGGCAGGGGTACAGTGCCAGCCCCACACTCAGGGCATGGGGGGCTAGGGGTCCGGCCTGGGGCTGGGGTTTCATGGCTGTCCTTACCAGGCACTCGCTGAATGTCCACAGCTCCTTCTTCAACCTCTTCTTGAGATCCGCCCTCTTCAGGAAGCCGGCCAAGCAAAGCAGCGCTTCCCGAGAGGCCTGCAGAGCAACAAGGACTGGGAGATGGCACCGCAGCCCAGGGCACAAGTCCTGTGTCCCTGCACCAAGGCCAGAAGGAGTCTGGAGCCCAGGAGGGGCCAGGGCAAGAGGCAGCCCAGCCCTGTCCCACGGCAACACCAGAGCCCACAAGCGCTCACCTCTGCCACTCTCGGGTTCTCATCATAGCAGTGGAAGAAGAGTGGAAGCAGGTTCTGCTGTGGCTTCAGGGGCTTTTTCCCCTCTTTCTTTAGCAGCATCATCACCCCACTGAAGAGGAGCATGGAGGAGAGCTGCACACTGCTGTCATCCTGGTGCAAATGAGAAGACCTTAGGCCTGGCTTGCCCAGGCCCACCTGGGCACAGGCCTGAAAA